AAATAACATATGTACACTAGTGCATATATTGAAAACGTCACCGCCTTTTGACAACAGTGATTTTGGAGTTGTCGTCGAAGGTGTTATGGTAATATTTCTGAAAATAAGAACAATTATATAACTACGGTTATTTAATAACAGTCGTCGTATAAGACATACAACAATAATTATTTAATAATTGTCATCATATAGGACATACGATGATGGTTATTATAAATAACCATCATAAATAACCATCGTCATATGTTCTTCAAACCTATTCCCACTCACCCTCCTCGCTCACTTCCATTGCCTCCTCCTTCCTCCCTCGCGCCTCTTCCTCCTCCTCCTCCACCCTGCATCTCCTCTCAGTTTCTCCCTCTTGCTCACTCATTCCCTCCATTCCCTTCACTTCATCCCTTGTTGTCATTTTCAGTCATCTCCCCATGTCGCGCCCTCATCAATTTGCCCTTGCGTCATGCTTACAACCTCTCTTGGTCCCCTCTTACTCTCTCGGTGGCTCTCTCCCTTTCATTGTTGCCTCTCTCTCTCTTGTCGTGCTCCTCGTCATGGTTTGTGAACGTTGGTGACGGTCCGTGAAAGCTCATTCTTCCTCTCTATAAGTAACTATTATGCCTTGATTAATGTATATATTGGTTTAGGGTTAACATTGTGATGATTGATAATGATATATAATATTTTTTGAACAAATTTGTATTGAGTCTGGGGATGTCCGATTCCCGACAAATTGTATTGTTAACTGAATTATGTAGTTGTGTATGCATTACAAAATTTAGAAATGGATAAAAGTTGGATAAATTGTGTTCGCATAACTTATGAGTACGAGAAAGGAGTGAAAGAATTTTTATTATAAGCACAATGGAACACTTCAACTAGTTCTACTAATGGAAGATTTAGGTGTCCATGCGTTAATTGTCTTAATGGAAGATTACTAAGTGCTTAGAAAATTAGGGAGCATATTTTAGGTGACGATTTTCTTAAGAATTACACAATTTGGACATGGCATGGTGAACTATTAGCTTTGTCATGTGTAAATGAATTTGATCACAATTTAGTTGATTCAACCATGGATGATCGACTAGAGGACATAATTCGTGATGTTGGAGTAGAATATTTTGCTCAAACGCATATGTATGAAGATATTTGTAGTGATTGCAACAGAAAATCTAGAGCTTAACATATCTATTATGCAGTTGTGAATTATATAAGTTATTTAAACTAAAGTTCTTACTATTTTAGTTATTGAAATATTAATTATTATGTCGCTTGTTGTATGTATCTATCCTAGTTATGTGTGAGTGAAGGGAAAGATGAAGTGGATAAATTTGTAGATCCTCAACTCATTCAACCAATGGGTAATAAGAAGTCACATACACAAACATACATCACAAATGGTCTCTTATCGAAAAAAAAAAACCTAAGATACAATGACGGTTAGTACCATAACCGTCATCATATACATGCTTAACGCAAGGCTTCAACGATGGATATGGTCACACCCATCGTTGTATGTCACATACAACGATAGGTAAAAACCCATCGTTGTATCTCTTACATACAACGACGACTCCATCAACGACAGGTCCTAAATCAGCATGGTAGGTCAAATTTAACCATTGTTAATAACCATCACTATAATAGTGGTATAATATAATATATAATGTATTTGTGAGAAAGATTTCTACTAGTACAAAATTCAAAAAATATATATATTATTCCTTTTTACATATATTAATCATTAATATCATCATTTAAATAAAAAATAAATATGGTGAATTAACTATTTAAAAATAATTATATATTATATAACACAAATTCATACAATATCAAATGGATCATATTCATTGTTACTTTCATCATATTATATATGTCTGAAGATTGATATTATCTTCTAATAATACATGTCACCAATAATTTCCGATCAGTTCATCATTACTTCATTCTTTAATATATATGACTTGAGTTATCAATGATATTTGATATTTCATTTAATTTATTTAACATAATTACCACATTATCATATTATAATATATATCTAGTCATCTCTTAACTAATGTTTAAGACTAATTTGTCTCATACCAACTATACATGCATATCAATTCTAGGTACCTACCACATATTTGACTTAACCTTACATATTCTACATGCATATATTTTAATTGGGCATCAACCCACACTTTATCCATGACTCATTACTCATTTCGCAAGAGAGATAGATTGTCTAAACATCTTTTGGTCACTTGATTAGTGTCAATTTCATCGTTGCTTGAATATTCTCCCTTACATTTTCCTCACTTTAACATCACAAGAACGTTTTAATGAATAACAAATAAAATAAAATATTTCTCGTATATTAGAATTTTATTTAAATGACTAATTGTCGTTTGAATGAAATACTTATAAAACTAATTTTTTTCTTTTCAACCAACCACTTTACTTGAACCTCCCCATTAGTCATTCAAACAAAATATTTATCATGTTAATTATCTCTCATTCTCAAATAGTTTATTTATGTGTTCTATATTGAATAAACCATCATTTAACCAATCAGTCCAACACACAACTTGAACAACAAGTATCAAAATAGTAATAACAAACCAACAACAACATTTTTATAATCTAACTATCAACCTACCAAGTACCACATACCACATCATACATCACAAATTCATTACAACACCAATATCACCTAAACATGTTTTCTAACATATTTTTATAATTAGATAAGCGTAACAAACATCTAATGTATAAATTCTATCAACTTTTTACTTTGAATATTAACCATACTATTATCTTGATTCTTAACTTTTCCAGGTATGTAGCCTAGTTTTAACTCCAAGCTTCAAAATAGCCAACATTCCAATATACAAATTATCTACGATACTTCACGGATTCAAAATCTTCTTTATAGATAAAACATAACTCTCTATTTATATATATATAAAAAAAAACTAAAACAAGGTAAATATATTCAAATAACGATGTGAAACAAAGTTCTATGTGTTTGAAACATTTTCCGTGAAGAGAGTGATTGGATCCCCTTTCCTGTATTTTGACGATCCGGAACTTCAACAAAGTTCTATGGGCAAGAAAGCATTGACTTTTAACAAAAACACTTTGAAAAATTGCAATTTAAATGAATAAAAAAAGCACGCAAAGGGAAATCAAATAAGAACCATATAATCCATATACTATATGTTTTATTTTTATTTTATTAAATACATAATTTAAGAAAAATAATACACAATTAATATAAGACTACATTAAGTCAAGAAAGATAACAATGGTGACTATCTAAAAAATTAATAAGATGGCTGTTATTATCAATATTTTCATTAACAAGATATTTATTATTATCGATATTTTCATTATTATCAATTAAAATAAGTACCAATTTTTATTATTTTAATAAATTTATTATATTTTTATTAATATTTTTATTATTTTAGTATTCTTTTTATTTAAAATACTCGCCCATTCCATTCCATTCCATTACATTCATAAGATGGCTGGAAATTGAATTGGGAAAGAAATGTCTCTTTTATTGAAGTCAAGGTTGAAATGAATATCCCCAAATCCAACCAACAACTGCCCCACGTTACACAAATCTACCCTCTTTTTTTGTCCCTTTGTTGCAGACCCATCATATGCCAACACGTGTTTCTCGAGATTCGACTCTTCTTCTCCCCTCAAATTATAACTCCATACCTAGCCATTAACACCCCCTCGATCATCAATAAACCAAACTTTTTATTTCACATGTCTCTTGTTCACACTGCATTTAGTACACAGCAGATAAATAAATGAATTTTTTTAAGATAAATATAATAACAATTAAATTATAAGATTGCTGAGTTTGAAAGAAAAAAAAACGTAGATCTTTAATAAAAAAATCCTTTTTGTCCTTACAAATTTTACCTTTTAATTCTTATAAAATAATTCATTTTAGCCTTTACACGTGTCATTTTGATTATTATTTTTTTGTTTTTATAAATACCATTTTTAACTTTTAGTTCTTATTATTAATATTTTAGATTAAATAAATTAGAAATTGTATGTATACCAATTGAATAACTAAACTGTGTTCTTTAAATCATGGGTTCAATAATTTATTTTTCTTCTCATTCCAACGTAATTTTTCGAATTTTCCAGCGTATTCATGAATACCAAACCATTAAAACATGTTATAAAATATTTTGGTATATATTTATAAAATAGTTAAAAAAATTGAATTTAAATTAATAAAATAATGTATACTATGAACATATAAAATATATTAAATTATTTATTTATTTTATATAATTTTAAAAGTTATAATATTCTAAAAAGTAATAAGATTAAAAGTCAATGTAAATATATAAATAAAAATTATATATATATATATATATATAAGAATAAATAAACATTTATTAACTAAAAATAAATTGGTAGTATAATATTTTATTTTACATTTTTCATTCATTTTTTCTTCACGCGAGAGAAAAACAAAATATACGAATAAAAGTAATATGTTTTTTTTCTTGTATCAATTAAAAAATTATTTTATTTTTAATATTTTCTATGTTTATATTTTTCACTTTTCAATTTGTTGGAAATAATCAACCTTTGATTACTTAGAGGAAATCTTTTCTCAAATACAAGCAAAAATGTGAAACATTTTTTAATAGGTTCAAATTCTCATTTGTGAAAAAACTAGTTTTTTTTTTCTTGTAGACTTAACTCCAATTATAATAATAAAACAGTGCATCGAAATGAGACCCAGTGGAAAAAAAAAATATAAATATAGATATAATAGGCAATATGATTGAATTGTAAAAGAGAAAATTAAAGAAATAATAATTAGAATTACCCTCTCTGATCCAATTCAGCAACAAAAGACGAAGAAGGACAAACACACTCTCCACATAATCAATCCAAGCCAAACCAAAGCCTCTTTTCTTCCCCACCCCCACCACACATCCATCTCCATTCTTCACCTTGCAAACCTCCAAACCAGAACCATGCTTGAGGAGACAGTCTCATCCTCCCCAACATTCCTGGGCACCCTCTACAGCTGGTTCACCCCCACTGTCTTCTTCCTCCTCCTCCAACTAGTCATTGGAACCATCTTCATAATCTCCAACCTTGCCAACTCCCACAAACACCAACACCAAGACCCTCATGCCCAACATCATCAAGCACATGACTTTCCACACCCCCACCTCCCTAGATCCCCTTCCCTCTTGCAAAGACTCAAATCCATCAACTTCTACCCCTCCCAAGATCCCCCATACCCCCATTTTCATGAATCTCAAACGCAACCACAAACCCATGAAAATGAGCACTCCCAACTTGCTAGATCTCCCTCACTCATTCAAAGACTCAAGTCCATCAACCTCTACACTTACCTCCCCACCGAACCCTTCACGTCCAAACTCACTCCCCACACCACCACAGTTTCCCACGTGCCGGACAAGCCGCACGTGTCACCACAACAAGTGGTGGAATCCGACGAAGAAAAAGAGGAAGACGACGACTTTCCTGTCGAAAACGACAATTACGGTCACAACCTCGTTGAGCGCGAAGAGTGTTCTTCGTTGGACGAGATTTACAGCAAACTGCAGCAGCAGGGGCAAGATGGTCATTTCACTAGGACGCATTCTGACACCAAGCCTTCATCCGGCGAGGTTCCAGTGAAGCTGTCGCGGAAGATGAAGAAGTCAGCCAGCAGCAAGTCGGCTTTCGCGCACTTCAAGGAGGAAGACATAGTGGAGAGCCGCCGGCCGGCCACCGCGAAAGAGGCGAAGGTGGGCGGAACCGGCGTGGACGAGGAGGAGGAGGTGGACGCTAGGGCCGACGACTTCATCAACAAGTTCAAGCAGCAGCTAAAATTGCAGAGGCTGGATTCCATCATGAGGTACAAGGAAATGATTGGTCGAGGATCTACCAAATAAGTAACAATTATTAATTATTATAATAGTAATTTTAATTCTGTTACATTTTATTTAGTGTAATATTTTTTTGTTAATTTTTCCTTAGGTCTTCTTCCTTTTTGTAAAATTAGTAAGTTTTTATTTTTTTTCTTTTTTGAATCGGTTATGTTCATTTTCAGCCTTTTGGATGTTGAGAGTACTTGTAATGTAACTTGTGACTGCTTTATGTTTGATGAATGAATGAGTTCTTATTGTTTCTATCTATTTGCATATAACATTGTAATTTGTATTATGTTAGTGTTGTTCCACTAGATTTGGGTGTTTGGGTTGGGAATGAGTTGCATCTTTGACTTGGCTCAATAATTTGTTGATAATCGAGCTGAAACTAGTAAATAACATGGGACATGTGGGAACCTTGAGAATCGATTTTGCCTCCGACAAACTTGGTTTTAGTACAAACACATGGTGGATGTTTGGATATTTTTAGGATATATTGATTTTGTTTTGAAACTTTGGGTTGATTACAAAGAATAAAAACTAGCTCTTATGTTGGGTTGAAAAAGTACATGTTAAATTTTATAGCAAACTTGAATTTGTGTTCAAAAAATAAAATTGCTTCCCTTAAAAATACAAAAAAAAAAGGGTTCATGTAGGGATTTAATAAATAGTTAACTTATAAATCACTATGAATTCAAAGTTAGTTTTATTGTAGGCACTTTTCTAAACATAGAGTTAGGGTTTGTCTAGACAAATTAGCATGTTTTGGTATTCACGTCATTTTATTCTCTATACAAAAAAGAAACTTACAAATTTAGGGTAATTAAACTCAAGTTAGTGCATATTTTACAAAAATAAATCAAGTTTGTATGTAATATATGAACGTATAATAAGTTCAGAATAATTATATATTTAATTCACAATTTATATTTAAACTAAAATTATTTAATTACCTTGTATTTTTCATATAGAAATGTGAGCATAAAAGGAGTATTAAAAAATCAGAAAAAGAAAAAAAAGGGTCATGCCAGCTGGGTTGCACAGGGAAAGTATATAGTATTTAATTTGGGGAATTAATGGAGGGTTGGGGTTGATTGCTTTGTGGCAACATGGAAGTATGAAATGGTGGTTATATTTAGGGGTTTATGGTGTTTTTCACGTGCCATCTTTTCCCTCGGCTTCATTTATCAATGTAACTACTATTATTTTTCAAATGATTTTGCCGCTACAAAATTCTCGTTCACTTCTCAATATACTTGCTAGTTTAGTTTCAAGAAGAAAAAAAGTTAATAAATCAGAAATTATTCTATATATTATAGTAAAATTAATAAATTTATAATAGATTGAATTTGCAATTGAATGAGTACAAACATTTGTTATACCGACAATTGTCGCATTATTTTTTATTCATTTCTTAAATTAAAATATTTTGTCATTTAATTATGCACTATTTATGTTTGATAAATGTATTGATTGTTTTATTTTAGGATAAATAGTACATGCACTAATTGTATAAATAAGTTTATTTTTATTAAATAATAAATGTGATAACTTTTATAATAATTACTCTAAAATGTATAGTGTTTTTTTAGATAGTATGAATTATTTAAGTTATTTGTTTACACCATAAAAATTGTAACAATAAAATCAGATTAATAAAAATGGTGGAAGACAAATTTATTAAAATGAAGGAAATTATGTATATAAAATAGGATACATTTTCTAAATAAAAAATATATGTGATAGAAGGTTGAATTTGAGCTCATGATCAAGTTTAAGGTAATATTATTTAAAATTTAAAATTATAAATGAATTCGAGTTAACATTATTTAAGGGTAGTCTTTGAACGAGTTAATAACATATAATGTTTGAGTTTAAATCATGATTGAGTTTGAGTTATTATTCAAACACATAAATGAGTACGAATCAACGCCATTTAAAGGTTGAATTTAAATTTATGATCGATTCAATACTATTTAATGATCAAATTTGAACTATGATCAAATTTACACTCATTTTTTAAATGTTAAAATTCATGCTTAATGTTTAAGGATGAATTTAAACTTAAATGACTCAATTTCAAATCCATCTTAAAAATGTTGAATTCAAATCTAAAATGAGTTTCTAAACTTACATAATAATGGTCCAAGTTTGAAACTAATTTATGAAAAATTTAGCTAGAATTTATAAAAATCAAGTTTAAACTCGTTGTCAATAAACCTAAACTTATTTTATCAAAGTTCATATAGGAATTTATTATTCTTGTTTATGTTTAAGCCTAATTTTCAAATTTTAACTTATTATTTTTGTTTTATTTCTTAGATATTAAATAGATAGTTGTACCTAGTTTTTAAAAGTATGTGTATTTATTTGTATCTTTATTTATTAGAAGTCTTTTCATTTTCGTTCTACTCATTATGTTTGTGAACTTTCATTATAAATAAGGGAACATAAAATAAGGAGTTCAAGCTATCTAATTACATATTTTCCCTTTTTTTTTTTATCTTAAGTTGGTATCACATTGCGTTATCCTGCTCTGCTTTTCCCTGTTTGCCACTGCCATTCATCATCTGCCACTGTTCTTGAAAAATTCAAGTGAGTCTAAGTCACACATTTGTGAGAATGGAGAAGTTGAGCAACATATAAAGAATAAAAACTCATAACCCAATGTCTTAAGGTTTTGGGTTGAAAATAACGTCAATGTGTTATGTGTTTTGGACTCATGTCTCATTATTGTTGTCTCTCCCCAGTGAATGTCCCATCGAAAGACCTAACAGTGATATCAGACCTAATAATTTGTGTGATGACCAACAATTTGAGGGTAGTCCCTATATCAAAATTCTTCCTGACAGTGGGTTAGGTAAGCATGTCTCATTATGATGAATGATGATATATGTAAGGTCACCAATGTGCTTAAGGGGGATGACCAATATGAAGGGACTCACACTTGAGGGTAAGATTGTTATAAAATCCAAGTGTGAATCTAAGTCATACATTGTGTAAGAATAAGAAAATTGAGCAACATATAAGGAAGAAATACTCATAACTTAATGCCTTAAAGTTTTGGGCTGAAGGTGGTGTTAATTCCTTATCTAAGTTGAACTCATGTCTCACTGGTGTTGTCTCTCCCTAGTGAATGCCCCCTCCAAAAACATAACAACCATTGCCTGTCATTTCCGTCACCATTATCTACCATGTGTCGCTATTTTTTTTTGTTTGAGTACTATTTGGTGTGAAGTCTCATCTCTATCTCTCTATCTCACTATCTCACGGTATCTCTCTCCCTTATAGCGTAAACATGGCTTTATGGCCCATAACATCCTTTTCTAGGTCTCCTCTGAAAAGTTAAATGGAAAAAATTATTTGTAATTGTCCGTTTTAATGAAACTTTAGTTCCTTGGTCAAGGGTTCTATGATCACCTAGGAAAAGATGGAAGTGATGTTCCATCAGATCAAGCTCAACAATGGAAGAAAATTGATTTTCAATTATGTGCTCTGCTATGGAAATCGGTAGAACCAAATATTTTGAGCACTCTCAGTTCCTTAAAAACATGTAATTCCTCTTGGAAAAGGACCTAAAATATCTTTGCAAATGATATCAAATGTCTTTATGATTCTGCTAATCGACTGACTTCCCTCAAACAAGCAGATAATAATATGATGTCCTTTATTGCTGAAGCTCAATCAGCAGTTTAAGAATTGAAGATTTTCTTGGAGGAAGATTCAGTAGAAAATATAAAAAGGAAATTGGATAAATTTTATATGATTGTGATTCTTCGGGCCATGAATCCAGATTTTGATCATGTAAGAGATCAAATCTTAATTGGTCAAGAAGTTCCTTCCATGAAAATTTTAACTACACGGCTTCTTTGGGGTCCAACCCTCAAGAGTAAAAATGTTCATGAACCATCTGAATCTTCCGTCATGATTTCTACTCGTGGAACGGGAGGTTATGGCACAAGAGGAGAGGACATGGTGGTAAAGGACGCCCTCAATGCACATATTGCAATCAAATGGGTCATACTCAAGAGAATTGTCTTTCTTTACATGGTTTCCCTGACAAGACTGCACATATTTCTAAAACAAAAGTGATTGAGCCGAAATTATCTGATGAGTAATATCAAGAATATTTGAAGTTGAAGTCCATTAAACAAGCATAATCATTAACAACTTCAAATTCGTTAATAGCTTGCATTTCTCAATCTTTGGATTGTCAAAATCTATGGATCATTGACTCAGGTGCTTCTCATCATATGTCTAGTAATCCCCTGTTATTCTATTCTCTTTTGTTCTAAAACTCCTCATTTCATAACCCTGAATAACGGTCCTAAAGTAGTCTCTAAAAAAATTGGTCATGTTTCTATTTCACTGTCTTTAAACTTAAAATTTGTCCTACTTGTTCCTTCATGTCCCTTTAGTCTCATTTTTTTAAAGTCAACTAACCAAATTATTGAACTATTCAGTAACCTTTAAATCAAGAGAATTTGATAGATGAAAGACATCAATGAAAGACATGAATCATTGGTCGACTGATAGATGAAAGACATAAATCAAGAGGCTTATCCTACTTTGGGGCTAAGTCATCAGTATCTTGTGTTACATCTTCCTCTCCTAAACTACTTCATGAACGCTTAGGTCATCCTCATTTGTCAAAATTGAAAAATATGGTTTCTGAACTGAGCAGTTTTCAAACTTTGGAATGTGAATCATGCCACAAACTAGGCAAACATATTATGTCTTCATTTCCAAAACATTTGAATCTAGATGTGACTCTACATTTCCTATTATCTATTATGATATTTGGGGACCTATTCGTGTATCATCTTTTGGTTTCATATATTTTGTTAAATTTATTCTTGAGTTCTCTATATGTACTTGGGTTTATTTAATGAAAGATCACTCTGAACTTTTGTCTATCTTCATGTCTTTCCTTAATGAAGTCCAAAATCGATTTTGGAAAAATAATTAAACTTCTACGAAGTGATAATGCCAAAGAATATTTCTCCACTGCTTTTTCCACCACCTTAAAATCATAAGACATCTTACATCAGTCTATTTGTCCTCACACACCACAACAAAATGGTATAATAGAAAGAAAAAATAGACATTTGGTTAAAATTGTTCGTACCTTATTATTTGGTGCAAATATGTTTGTTCTTCATTAAGGAGATGTTATCCTAACTATCTGTTTTCTCATTAACATAATGTCTTCTTCTTCCCTTGACAATAAAGTTTCATTCTCCATTATATTTCTAAAGGAACCACTTTTCATGTTTCTCCCCATGTCTTTGGTTATGTATGTTTTGTTCATGATATGTCTCTAGGTTTAAACAAACTCTCAGTTTGAGTTATCAAATGTGTCTTTTTAGGATATTCTTATCTTCAAAAATAATATTGTTGTTACTCTCTTGAAACCCATAAATACTATATGTTAGCCAATGTCACGTTTTTCTAATAAACTCCATTCTTTACTTTGTTAGCATAGAATATTAGTTCCTCTGTTCATGACAACCAAAATCCTATTAAAGAACCAATGCCCAAGGTGAGCCATTTTCAACAGGTCCTTCCTAAATCATTCAATACCATGACTCCTGATAATGATGACTCATGTTGGCCCATTGTCATTCACAAATGTACTCATTCTACTTGTAATCCACATCCTACTTATAATTTCCTTAACTACCACAAATTATCTCCTTCATATTTTTCTTTTATATCTTATGTATCCTCTATTTCTATTCCTAAAAATTCCATTGAAACATTTAATAATCCTAAATGGAGACAAACTATGATTTCTAAAATGCAGTCTCTTGAACATGGGAGTTGGTTCCTCTTCCTTCCGAAAAGTAAACTACTGGTTGTTACTGGGTCTATACCATTAAGGTTAGACTTAATGGTGAAGTTGACCGCCTCAAAGTTAGACTGGTGGCTAAATCAGACACTAAAATCTATGGTCTTGATTATGATGATACTTTCTCCCTTGTGGCCAAAATGACTATTATGAGACTTTTCCTTGCCATGACTGCCATTTTTCATTGGCCTCTCCATCAACTAGATATTAAGAATTTCTTCCTTCATGGTGATCTAGAAGAGGAAGTATACATGGAGTAATCTCCTGACTTTGTTGTTCAAGAGGAGTCTGGTTTAGTATGTAAGTTGTGACGTTCTCTTTATGGTCTAAAGCAATCACTGCATGCTTGGTTTGAAAAATTTAGTTCCATTGTTAAAGTCTTTAGGTGGAAACAAAGTGAAACAGATAATTTAGTCTTTTACTGTAACACCGTCCCTAGAAAATGTGTCTACTTAATTGTATATGTTGATGATATAGTCATTATTGGAAATTATTATGCTAGAATATCTCAACTAAAGGAACACTTATTCAATCATTTTCAGACCAAGGATCTTGAAAGTCTTAAATGCATCTTGGGAATTTAAGTAACCCAGTTTCTAAATATCTTAAAAGAGACAGACATGATTGATTGGTAACTCGTGGATAATTCTATGGATCCAAATTAGAAATTAACAGCAAAACAGGGTGAAGTTTTCCCTGATCTAGTGAGATATAGAAGACAATTTGGGAAATTTATTGATCTTAATATTACTATACCTAATCTATCTTTTGCAGTTGGTGTGGTTAGTCAATTCACGTAGGCCCATTATATTGATCATTGTAATGTTATCATATGTATCCTGAGACACATAAAAAAGGCTTTAGGACAAGGGTTATTACATGAAATAAAGGAAATACCCAAATCTCTAGGTATTGTGATGCTGACTGGACAGGATCTCCTATGGACAGACGCTCTAGTACTAGATATTATGTCTTTCTAGGATGAAATGTTATTTCTTGAAAAAGTAAAAAACAAAACGTATAGTTGCCCGATCATCTGTTGAAGTTGAATATAGGGCAATGACATCTTTCACGTGTGAACTTGTATGGGTAAAATAATTCCTTCTAAACTTTTGTGAGATTCAAAAAATGAACATGTATTGTGATAACCAAGTTTTTCTAAACATTGTTTCAAATCCAATATTCCATAAGAGAATTAAGCACGTTGAAATTGTTTGTCACTTTATTTGGGAAAAGTTGTTATCCAAATAAATTTGTACTAAGTTTGTTAGATTCAACGATCAACTTGCAAATGCATTGACAAAATCCTTAAGAGAGCCTTGAATCGAATTCATTTGTTCCAAGTTTAATATATACAATTTGTATGCTCCAACTCGATGAACAATGTTAAATTTATTAGATATTAAATAGACATTTGTAGTTAGTTTGTAGAAGCATGTATATTTATGGGTTGTATTTTATTTGTATTTAGTTTCTAGAATAGTTTTTTTTTTCTTTTATAAATAAGAGAACACAAGAGAGGGAGTTCAAACTCACTAATTACATATTTTTTTCCTTTTATATCATAAGTATTTTATTAATGACTAATTGGAAGTCTATTTATGAAAATTTTATTTTGAGTTTAAAATATTACAAAATGTTAAATCTAAAAATATATTAATAAAAAAAATAGTCTAAACTTGTTATTAATAATTAAGACAAGATAAAATAGTTCATTGTGAAAGCATGTTTGACCCCATGAACATATCTTATAATAAGAGTTTTTATTTTTTTAAGTTTAAAGTTTAAGCTTGTGTTTGGTCCAGTGATGCAGTGTAGAGTAAGAAATATAGGAGCAGATTTGAGTAAATTGAAGTTGTTTGAGAAAATTATAGAATAGGATATGTTAATATGGAATAATTGCATGTACCGCTTAAGGAACATAATTGTAAAATTATGTTTGATTAAATTTTTTAATAAAATTTCAATAATTAATTAAAGGGTTTACGGTTTATAAATTTTAAATTACATTATAATTATTAGTGTTAAGTATTATAAAAAAAATTAGTAAATAATTATTAAAATAATTTGAAATAAATTATTCATAATGTTATTAAATTAATTATAATAAAATCAATAAAAATATATTTATATTTTATTTTTTATTTAATTTTTTATTCAATTTCATAAATCTTATTTTTTATATTTTTCTAATTCCTCTTCAAATCCTATTTTTTATTTTGTTTCTCTTCTTTTCTACTCCTCAAATATATAAGAGATTGAGTTTTGCATCTCTTTCATGAGATTAATCTTACCATTTTGAAAAGTTGAAATATAATTAAGAGACAAACTCTCGTGATACAAAATTTATTATTTAAGCTTTACAAAATTTCTTTACTTGTATTCCATCATCAATTCATAAAAGAGTTTATTATCCACTACAATTTCATGGTTTATATTTCATAAATATAAAGAGTAACTTTTTTTTTTCTTACACATTTATCGAAGTAGTTGTTCTTCCTCTTTCTTTTCAATCTAGAAAAGGTGACTTTTTATTGGGTGCATATTATTTTTTCCTTCATTTTGTACTTTGACACTCCTAAATGAGGGAAAGATTTCAAAATAATGTTTCCCTTCCTTACATCATCACTCCCTCATTTCTTAGTGTCACGTGGAGTCTTTAGTTTTGTGTCTTTTTTTTTTTTTTTTTTTTTTAAGTCATAGATATTTAGAAGGGTTTTGAGAATTACTATAATATATGCATTATTTAATATCATAATATTTCAAGATAGCTGACCAAATAAATATTGCAATATTTTACTTAAAAATTATAATTAAAAATTCTTTTAAATTTTCGTATAAATACCATATTTATTTAACGTTATGAAAAACCAAAAATATATAATTAAATATAACCTAAATCATACTAAAACTATTACCCCACCTCTCTCTATTAATTTTTATTTTGGCTTAGATATGTTTAATTATACTCTTTGTATAAAAAATTGGAATAATTTTAATTTTATTTCTTCAAATTTAAAAGGTTTTATTTTAGTCCCTAAAAATTAAAAAAAATGATGTTATTTTTTAAATAGTTTTAAAACTCTTTTTGTCTTCATATTTAATATTTATAGATTAGTTATATTATATTAAAGGATTATGATGATTTTTTTATTTGAGAAACTAACCGTAACATTACTATATAAAGGTTTTTTTTTATGACCGTTCATTTTGACTTTTTATATCGATTTTATAATTGTCATAAATACAATTGAATATCAATTAAAATATAATCAACATAGTCAATAATAATTTCTATATCAATTATAATTTTAATCAATGTAAAAAGTCAGTTTTAATTTATTTTTTCAACAATTGATGTTTAAAATAAACAAAAATTAAAATAAAATTGATGTTTAAATTTTAAAATAGATAATAATTTTTTAGTACAGTATGATCTTAGATGAGAGGATTTACTTATCAATATTAGCCCGATTAAAAAAAATATATTAACATCTTTATATCAAAATAATAAATAAAAAAATATTTAAATAAAAAAATATATTTTTAAAATTTAAATTATATTAATAAAATTAATTTTTATTTCAAATATAATAATTTAATAAATAAAATTTTAAAATAATTAATTCACTCAATTTTAAAATAAAAGATAAAAACTTCTTTTTTATTATTATCATTATTTTTTATAATTTAAAAATTTAAAATAATAATTTATTTAATCATTCTTCAAATAAATGGATTTCTCAAATAAATAAATGTTAAAAATTTATTTTTATATTTCTGTTATAATAATTATTTATCAAATTAATTTATAATACATATATATTTAAAATAATATTATTTTTTATATAAAAAATAATTATTATTTTATAAAGCTACCCAACCCATAAATCCAAGGACCAACTCCACCTAAATCTATGTCATGATCTAAACCAATAGAGATAAAATAGATTTGATCAATTTAAATTATAATTTTTTTAGTCTAACCTATTTCTCAAAATTTTCGTATCAAATTATTAGACTAAATCTATTTTGACCATTCTACTTAACATATTTATATTTATTTTTGTAACATTATTATAATAATAATAATAATAATAATAATAATAATAATTTGTAATGTATTTCTTTTAAGTTTATTTTATGTTTAATAGTTCATGGTTCAAATGTTTTAATTTGTAGATTATGTTTTATTTTAGTATTTCTCAAATTAAATAATTTTTTTAATTGGTTACTTCTGTTTTGTTGATTTTTTTAAATGCAGCAATTTCAAATATACAATTTTAATAATATTTGTTAAAATAGCAAAATAGACCAAATTGAGTAGTACTTACTTTTCTTTTCTTTTTTATTTATGGATTTCTTCTAACGTATTGTCCAACGATTTTTCGCAGAGATCAAAACATGCATTTCCTATTAAACGAATAATTTTCACAACGCGTTAATAATATAAAGTGTTTAATGATTGCATCAACTCATCAAATTAAAGAATTTCATTATTTTAATTGATAAAATAATATAAGTTTTATAATTAGTAAATTACCATTTTAGCCTTAATTGAAAACCCCCACACTAGGAGATTTTAATAAGCATTAAACTTAAGAATATGGTAATAATAATAATTATTATTATTATTTATGTACAGATTAGAATTTTATGAATATAATTGTTTTGAAGGGTTGTGTTTGTTTTCACCTATTTGGGTCACAAAATTAGAAGAAGAACAAATGTAGTCAAGGCCCAGTATAGTGTCCTTGCATTGGGGCCCATTGATAAATTATTTATAAGATGACTTCTCTTGTATTATATTCAACCAATTAACTTCTTTAATATAAAATTGAAAATAATTAGTATTTAAATAAAAAAGATTTAGTTACACGACAATTTATCATCAGAGGAAAGTAAAAAACATAAAGAAAACTCTAATACACGCAAACTTTCAAATTTATTATTATTTTAAGCAATGAATTATATACTTTTAAAGTAAAATATCCATACGTTGCGGCTTTAAATACGTTTAAAAGTCACAAGATAATTTAACATTTTGTGGTCATAGATTCGTGTTCTTTAATATATTTTAAAAAGTTAAAATTATAATGTTGTGATCCTAATTTTGTACAGTGGGTTGAAGTTGAATGAAATGGTATCAAAACCTAATTTACCTTCCAATTTGACGTACACTACTAAATTGAAGAATGAAGACTTCTCAAATATCATATCAAAAAGATATTTATTTATTGTTATTATTATTCTATTATATTAAGAAGTTTCGTTTGATTTATTTAGAAAAAATTAACATAAATAAATAATATTTCAACATGAAAATGATTTAACAATATTATTATAACGAATATAAGAAAGAAAAAAAAATGTATATCACTTATCATCGATCTCAATTCTTGAATCACATGAGATTTTACAAGCGTACCATAATAATTATTATTATTACTATTGTTATTATTATTATTATTATTTTAATACTAATTACTATTCTAAAATCTCGAATTTGCCACCTAAGTCCCAACTTTAAATAATGCATCATCACATCAGAAGCAATAGAATAACAAGTGATTGTTGAGGAAAACAAAACATCTTCATAATATTCCGGATCTAACTTTGAACCATAGAATGAGAAAAATAATTGAGATGCATGATAGTTATCTAAGCTATGATGTTCCTGTCACTTGGATGAGCCTCTATCGGAAGGATTTTAATCTACTCCACGCTTGTGTCATACGTTCAGCGTTTTTTATGATCTTAAATATTGTTATTTTGTTTTAGTTTTATTAAGTGGGTTTACAAATCGTTCAATGATTGTGGATACTAGCTCCTCCTTACTTATTATTTTTCGATTCACTGAACAAATATACAATTCGTTCAGTGATTAAACTTTTCTAGTAATACTATAATCTATCAATTCTTCAAAATTCATAATATATTAGAAGTTGCAGAGTTTTTACGCATGATTTCTTCATAATTACATAGATAAAAAGATAGAAGATTTAACACTTACTAATTATCTTCTTTGTTTAAAATATTTGATTTATTTAAATAATTATAATTTATTGTTATAAAAAGTCTGAGTTATTGAATTTTATATTTATATATCAATACGTTACTATGTACATACTCATGTTTGAAATTATGGTAGTTATGATAAAACAATGTAACCATGGATTATAATTTTTTTCTATGTATTATTCTTTTTATGTTTTATTTAACGTCGAGTGATGTAAATAAAATTTTCTTTTATATTTTGAAGTTTCTTTTATATTTTCGTTTAAAAATGTTAAAAAAATTACAAGTTTTGTTAATATTGTGATCTAAATGGTCTTATGGTTTCTATTTTATCTATAATCTAGCTGTTCAAAGTTTTTTTCCCTTATGTACCCTTGACCTATTTAAGGAATGTATAATAGAGAGTTCAGTTTTCTTACCTTTTTACTTATTGTCCCAGCTCTTCTTTTTTACACTACTTTTTTTTTTTTGCTTGTCACTTTGAGGAAGAAGTAGACTTCTCCTTTTCTTGGTCTCTGCGTCTTCTTATTTGTTAAACACCTTTCTTGGTAAATCTTATCATCTTTTAAGCGTGGAATAATTTCAATATGGTATCAGAGCGGGTGCAAGGGCATGCTCTGCTTCCATCTTTTTTATTTTTTTTTACAGGTTCTTGGTTCTTGCGTGTCTATATCATGGAGAACAACACCAGTACTAGTGCTGCCACCACATATACCAACAACATAGATCAATCTTTCATCCCTACAAGTCCTTACTACCTTCACCTAGGAGAAAACCCTGATTCTATTCTTATCCTTAATCCTTAAATGAAACCAACTACAACTCTTGGAGCAGAAGCATGAAGAGAGCTCTTCTGTCCAAGAACAAATTCAAGTTTTTAGATGGAAACATCAAGACTTCTCAAAGAGGTGATCCTATCTACGAAGCATGAGAAAGATCAATTGTGACCATTCTTTCTTGGATCAATAGAACATTGTCTTCCCAAATCCCTCACAGTGTTGTGTACATTAATAATGTCAAAGAGCTTTAGGATGAATTAAGAGATAGATTCTCAAAGGGAGATTATTTTCGTGTCTTAGATCTTCTACAAGAAGCTCACACAATAAAGCAAGATGAGAAAAGTGTTATACAGTATTATACTTATTTAAAACCTTTGTGGGAAGAATTAGATTTTTTAAGGCCTATTCCCAACTGTGTTTGTGGAAAACCTTTAAATGTGATCTATCTAGAAATTTCACGAAAACTAGAGAAAATGAATATCTCATCTATTTTCTAAAGGGCGTAAATGATCCCTACAATAACATAAAAACTCAAATTCTTTTAATCGAGCCTATGCCAAACATGAACAAAGTTTTTTCCATGATTATGCAACAAGAAAGGCACACTAATAATTTTGATGTTGAAAGCAAAGTTTTATTTAATAATGCTGAAAGAAATTACAAACAAGAACAAGGATCTTGAAGAGGACAGGGAAGAGGAAATGCACAAGTTACTCAAGGAAGAGGAAAAGGAAGGAATCCAAACTATGGGAAACAATGTTCTTATTGCCATAAGATGAACTACACGATTGATGAATGTTATTCCAAGCATGGATATCTTCAATGGTACAAACAAAGGAACAATTACAACAACAATAATCAAGAAAGAGGCAACTAGGACAAAGACAACCAATAAATATGTAATTTTAGAACTAAAAGTGGAGAACGGGACATACAAGATACTAAAGAAGAAAATATGGCTTTCACTATGGAACAAATGAAGAAGCTACTAAAACTTGTTGAAGAACCTGAAAATTTTGGGCATAACATTAGCCATATTCAAAGGAATAACAACAATATTTTAACCATTAACACTCAAGAAGGTAATGAATTCTGGATCCTAGTTTCTGGTGCTACTGATCATGTAACCTATAATAAAAACATTTCAGTTCCTTTTATAGAATAAAACTAGTAAATTGAAGTCTTCAATTTGTGAGATATTTCCTTTGGACACCTTCACACCTTCAATTTTTACCCCTTTCACCTGAGAGCAAATGGTGGAGCCATCTATTGCTAGATTTGTATAGAAGACCTTTACCAAGTTCAATTGTATCAATCCTTGAAGCTCTAAAAAGGTCTTCAATTTCTGGTGCTGAAGATGTTGATGCAAGTGGGTGAAGTCTTCTCTATCTAGTTAGTTAAACTGAAGATATTTTGGCATGACCATCTGTTTGTTACTAAAATCAACAATGAACTGGTTCATTTTCTCTAAATCACCATTAAACTATGCTTCCAAGTGACCTCCAGGATTACCTTCAGCAGTTTGGGAAGATGATTCTCCCTTACTTTTCTTTCTGCCAGATTTTTGATCTTTTGAACGTGTTTAGGAATAATACAACAGTGAACCAAGAGAAGAAGTAAAGGAAGAGGAATTTGTGATTTTCAAATTTGGTTGAGTGATGGTGTCTGCCAAGCTTCTTCACTTATTTAATGGATTATTAGAGTTTATTGGATAAGCACTAAATGAGCTTACATGGTGTACGAGATCTAGTCAAAATCAAATTTCAAGACTTTTACAATTGGTTTTGCTTTTGAATTTACAATGGTTCCTTGACCAATAACAGAAACATTGTTATTGTGCAGTGGGTACCAATTAGCTTTATTATATATGCTAAAATGTTCTTGAGGATGAGGATTTACTTGGTCAAAGTCATTTGTCTTATTCACAGTCCAATTATAATTCATCATTTGGATTTTTCCCTTGAATTGTTTTTAATCTAGAAACAAATGTATTTAATGCCTGTAATTTGTTCATTTGAATGTTTCCAAGAACAATCTAATCAATTATTTTACCAGATAATCAATTAAAATTGTACTGGATATGGATTAATAATAAGATATGCAGAATATTAATATGTTAAAATGATAGATAATCGATTAATTTCTCTTAATAATATGTAACTCAAGTGAAATTAACTAATATAATAAGCTTCTTAATCCATTAATTCAAAGAGACTGTACAATCCAAAGAGCTTTTAATTGATTAATTCGATGAATAATCAATTAAAAAACAATAACCTACCTATTAAAAATGGTTTTAAGTGATTTTAACCAATTATTTTGAGTAACTAATCAATTAAAAACTAAATTTTTTCAAAGAAAGTATATATTCAAGGATTTTAACTAATTAAAAACCAATTATATCAATTAATTCTATCAATAATTGTGATTTTATGCAATATTTGATACATCTAAAATGCCTAATTCAGTTCTAACCATGTAGAGACAATCACAAGCTAAAAGTTTTGTGAAAATGTCAGCTAATTGCTTATTAGTGTAAGAATTATAGGCTGAGATAAGAGGGGGGGTGAATTGATCTTTTAAAAACTTTCACAAATAGAAGATTTAGAATTACAATTTCAAAGATTCTGAATTCTAATCCAATCTTCAATCCAACTAAAAAAATAGTATTGAACATAATAGCACAAGAATTAAAGAAAGGGTTTAAAGAGAAGGAGAAACACCAAGAATTATACTGGTTCACCCAAATCACTGGGCTACATCCAATTCTCAACCAAATTCCAGTTGAGTTCTACTAGATTAAATAATTTTTAGTACATAACAAAATTGTAAAACAATCAATCTACACCAAAAACCAAAATCCAGTTCTTGAACCAAACCTGCAACCAAATTCCAGCTGCAGAACCAGTACCCAAACTTCCAAGCACTTAGACAGAAACGAATTGAAAAAGAAGAAAAGAAGAAACTAGAACAATCAAACATGGTTATGCAGATGCAAAGATTCCACTACAGATTGAGTTTCTTCTCTAGAATGAACACAAGAATGCCTCAAGAGAGAACTCTGAAAATTCTCACTTAAAGTTGCACACTTCTCTCTTTTAAATGATCTCTATGATTGCTTGAATGATTTTTCAAATGTGTGTTTTAAAAAGGTCAATCAAATTTGTTTATATAGAGACCTTTGCAGCTAATCGACATAATTAATCGGTTAAATATTCTTTTAATCGATTAAAATGTTCTATATCATTTTCAGAATTATTTTAACTGATAAAATTATGTTTTAATCGATTAAAACAATTATCCAAAAATTTCTTAAGTGATTTTAATCGATTAATTTCTATTTTAATCCATTAAAATATTGGGAGAAAATCTTCAAAAAATTTGTAAGTGATTTTAATCGATTAAAATACTAGTAGAATATTTTCTAAAACTTCTCAAGTGATCTTAATCGATTAATTCGAATTTTAATCGATTAAGAAACTGGTAGAACTTTTTCCAAAACTTTCTTAAGTGTTTTTAATCGATTAAATCAAAGATGTATCGGTTAAAATACTAATAGAAGTTTTTTCAAAACTCCTTAAGTGCTTTTAATCAATTAATTCGAGTTTTAGTCGATTAAAATACTACCAAAACATTTTCTAAAACTTTCTTAAGTGTTTATAATCGATTAATTGGAAAGTATATCAGTTAAAATGGTGACAATATATATTGTAAATAGTTTTAATCGATTATTTCAAAAATATATTAGTTAAAATGATGACAAAATTGATTTTAATAGTATTTAATCGATTAATCTGGAAATTTATCAGTTAATTTTGAGTATCAAGAACATATTAACCGATTAATAAGTTCTTTTAACAAATTAACAGGTTTAGAGGCATTTTTTATTCTTTCCAATGATGTAACCCAATGCAGTAGGAATTAAGAAATGATTATACCTATTAAGACAAGATGCAGACTCACTACACTACATCCCATAACCTAAATATATTCTAACTTCAATAGATTTTCCTTTGATTCAAAAAAACTCTTTGACTTCATTAAATCTTATGTTCCTTTAATAATCATCAATCTCTCCCTATTTGATGAAG